AAAAAAAAAAAACAAGAGACATTTTTAGTAGCATTCATGCCTTAGTATATGTCTACAAAGTGCCATTTTTTATTTATTTACAGACCTGTCAGAAGCTCATGGTCAGGGCTTTTTGGCTGTCTTCTTCTTAACTGGATTTATAACTCCAGCTCTGTGGCCATAAATAATCCACCTCGAGTATCCTCTTATACTTCAAAGAGATGCGGGCGGACGATTAGCATTTCCTCTTTGGGGGCAAAAGCAGCTAAAAATAGTGTGTTCTAAGCAAAAGCCATCTTATTCAACAGACATCACATCAGGAGGTTTGTGCTCATCAACAGTGGTGGAACGAAACGAAGTAAAAGTAGTAAAGTACTGCGATACAGACGCTGCTTAAAGATCCTGTATTACACAAAAAATGACTCTTGTGAGCTTTAAGACATGTTATAATGCTGTTACCTCCTCAAAAACATACCTGGAGTTTTGTTTTGTTTTATTCACACATGTTTGCATAACCCTTTATTCTTACGCTGTCTACATCTTTTTTTCAGTTTTCTAACTTAAAACTACCACTGCACGACATCACAAGTTGGAAGAGAACATTTTGTGCTTTGGAGATGTACACAGACTAATAATAAAAGATTACTCAAACCTTTATTATTAGTCTGTGTATGTGTGAATGAAACAAAACACAACCCCAGGGATGTTTTTGAGGAGGTAACAACATTATAACATGGCTTAAAGGTGCACTGTGTAACTTTTCAGATTGGGGGTCCACTACCATGGTAATTTGCCTGTTATGTTTCACAATATGGCATTAAACTTGTATAAGATTCATTTATTTGATTGTGAATGTTTTTATTGCTCAGAAACACCTTTAAAAACATGTAATCTTACTGTGGGTGGGGTCACCTCTTCACAGATCTTACCTGTAAATTGCTCTGTCAGCATCTCTTGCTTGTTTCTATGGAGATTGAGAAGTTTAATGCCATACTTTGGAATATTGGAGATAGGGGTGTGCAAAAATATCATAATATTGATATCATTTTGTTTAATGTGATAATACAGTATTGATATTGAGGACTGCTGTATTGATATATCGCCAAGAGTAGTTTTTAGTATATTTTACTAAATAATTTTGTTACAGTGCTACAGTTTTGCTGCTTGTTTAGAGGAGGAAAAACTTGTTTATGCAACAAATTTGACATATTCACTGTTTTGAAGATTAATATGTTTGTGGTTCATATTAACTTTGCACAAGAACTGGTTTAACAAAGACTTTAAGTATCACAGTCGTGATTTAGCCTTTATTTTTTATTGAACCATATTGAATCGATTTGAAATATATCGCATCAAATTGGAAGCTTACTGTATCAAGATATGTATTGTATCGTGGTATGTATCGTAATGGCAACTTCTTAATGATACCCATTAATTGGAGGTAAAGCAATAACATGGAGCAATAACAAGAGTTTCCTTCCTCTAAACAAGCAACAAAACTGTTGGGTATGTAAAGTGAGGACTCAGAAAATTAGTTTTAAAGCTGTGGTAGAAAAATGTCACTCCGTCCACAAGGCCACGGTAGAGGAGAACATACTCCACCAGAAAACAATCACGGAGCCGACCACAGCTTTGAAACAAAGTGAGGACGAGAAAACCTCCGCCCTCGTCAGATGTGAAGAGCTGCAGTTGTCCCAGAACAAGTTAGATGATCGGCTGCAGCAGATCACAGTCCTAGTGGAGGAACTCCAAGCCGAAGCAGACAAGAAAAACAAAAAGAAGAAGAGGAGGAGGTGGTTTAAGTGGTGGCAGTAAGTCACCCTCACCCACCCTCATCATAACCTGTGGCTGTGTATGACTTGACTTGTTAAGGCACGACACACAGGTCCTGAACTGTAAATAAAAAAGCAAATCAGCAATTTCAAATGACTCTCAATGTTTTCTTTTTGATTGTTTAGAATCCAGAGCAACAGATGGCAAATAAGCTCTGTCACTTTTTGACACTTTTTATTATTTTCCCTCACCTTTTCTAATTTAAATTTACTACAAACTCACCTATAGCTCTGTGTGAGAAAAAAAGTAGTGGCTTATAGTCTGGAATTTACGTTAGGTACACTGTTCTCGTGAAGGTTGTGGTATAAAAAATAAATAAATAAATTTTTAAAAAGTGCTATGGATGAGTTTGTAGTAAACTGAAATCACAGAATTGGGTAAAAATAACCAAAATCTTACTTATCGACTTATCGGGCATCAGTTATGGAAATACTAGGAGGATGAGATACAAACGAGACGCGAACAAGACGAGATTTTAACATTATTTACTATACAGTCGTCCCTCGCTATAATGCAGCTCACCTTTCGCGGTCTTGCTGTTTTGTGGAATTTTTTTGCATGCTTTTTTACAGTATATGAACGTGCATTGCGTTCCTTCCCCTGCGTCCTGATTGGCTAAGAGCCTGTAGACCATTGTCAATCAATCTCATCCGTGCCGTGTCTCCTGTACAGTACGAAATGCGTTCAGCTGCCAAATTTACATAAATGTTCGATCACTATCAGTGTGATTCTGAAGTGTTCTCAGTTTTCTCCCCACAAACAAACAAAACACACAATGTTGACGAAACTTTCTGCACCGCACCGACAAAGGCTCCTGCGGTTGCACCAAAAAAACAGAGGAACATACCAACCATCACACGAAAAGTTGGACTTCTGGACACGCTGAAAGAAAGTACAAGTTGCGCGGCTGTGGCAGAGTCCTGCACCGAGTCGGGTACGGGCAAAAAGTTGCTGAAACGGGCGGGTTTTAACGTTCTCGAATTTTACGGGCGGGTATGCGGGCAAGTAGTAATTACACATGAGCAGGTCAGGACTAAACTTGGACTAATCTTGGACTAATCTTGGACTTAACAGAGGGAACCAGGAGCCTACAGAGCAAGGTGTCCACAAAGCGCAATCGAGCGAAGGCCGCAGTTACCTCCGTGAGGTGCGGAGCTCTGTGCCGGTCCTTTATCCTGCAGTCACTTCCAAGCCCGTCCCAACAGTGAGTCCTGGTTCAGTCCTGGTTCAGTCCTGGTTCAGTCCTGGTTCAGTCCTGGTTTAGTCCTGGTTCAGTCCTGTTTTAGTCCTAGTTCAGTTCTGTTTCAGTCCTGGTTTAGTCCTGGTTTAGTCCTGATTTAGTCCTGGTTTAGTCCTGGTTCAGTCCTAGTTCAGTTCTGGTTTACTCCTGTATTTATCCAGTTTTAGTCTTAGTTCAGTTCTGTTTCAGTCCTGGTTCAGTCCTGGTTTGGTCCTGGTTCAGTCCTGGTTCAGTTCTGTTTTAGTCCTGTTTTAGTCCTGGTTCAGTGCTGTTTCAGTCCTGTTTCAGTCCTGGTTCAGTCCTGGTTCAGTCCTGGTTCAGTCCTGGTTCAGTCCTGGTTCAGTTCTGTTTCAGTCCTGGTTCAGTCCTGGTTCAGTCCTGGTTCAGTCCTGGTTCAGTCCTGGTTCAGTGCTGTTTCAGTCCTGTTTTAGTCCTGGTTCAGTGCTGTTTCAGTCCTGTTTTAGTCCTGGTTCAGTGCTGTTTCAGTCCTGTTTTAGTCCTGGTTCAGTCCTGTTTCAGTCCTGGTTTAGTCCTGTTTCAGTCCTGGTTTAGTCCTGGTTCAGTCCTGGTCTAGTCCTAGTGGATTTGTAGACGTAGCCAAGAGTGGTGGGATAGCGACGTGCTTCGCTTCAGTGACACGGAGTTCATTAACAATTTTGTATGACAAGAAGAACATTTGTGTACATTTGTGGCTTGTTGATAACGTGTAGGTGGATGAATGCACTTTGGCTGTTCAGACTGAAGTCGCATGTCAAAAGATCAGATATGTATTGGTTTCAGGACCACATATCCAAGTGGCCTGGGTCACATTTGAAAAAACAACAACAGTGAATAACCAGGACAAAGAAAGGACTGAACCAGGACAGAACCAGGACTGAGCCAGGACAGAACCAGGACTGAACCAGGACTAAAACAGGACTGAAACAGGACTGAAAAAGGACTGAAACAGGACTAACCTCGCCTGAACATCAGCAGATAGCAAGGACTAAATCAGGACTAAACCAAGACTGAACCAGGACAGAACCAGGACTGAACACGGACTAAAACAGGACTCGCATTTGAAAAAATCTGATCTGTGTTGTTCAGACTGTCATTAAAAGATCAGATACAGGTCACATTGGGGCCAAAAAATCAGATTTGGGTCACTTCAGGCTGTAGAGTGATCGTAGTCTAAGCTAAAAGCATAATTAGAATGTTTGTTTACATTTGCATTTTGTCTCCATGGTAACAACTCAACATTCCAACACGTCCATATTCCATGTTCTATCACCGTGGCGACGGCTGTGAGGTCATAAAGGCGGCAGAGTATATAAGCCCAAGTCTTGCACTGAAAAACTTCATTACGGTACGAATCTCACAGCGAGAGACATGAACCAAAACGGCAGAAGACACAACTATCGAAACATGAGGGCTACAGCTCAGGAAACCGCCGGGGGTGCCTCTCCTCTACCCGAGGAGAGCCCAGTTGTGCAGGATCTGAGACGGCAACTTCAGGAGGTCCAAAGAGCTCACCAAGACCAACTCCACATCATCACCGAACAGACATGGAGACTGAGGGAGTTAGAACAGGAGGTCCAACAGAAACAAGCCCTCAAGAAGAATTGTGAGGAGCTCCAGAAACAGCTGAGCGAGGCTACAGAGGAAAAAGAAACAATGATTGAGCTTGGGAAAACTCTCCTCAAACAAAAAGACAAAGAGAGAGAACAAATGTTAAAGCAGGGTAGACTGATGGTGAATGAGTACGTGGAGTGCCTCTACCAGGACAATGAAAATCTTAAGAGTTTCTCCCAAGAGCAGCAGAGTCTGGCCCTCAGGAACCATGAGAAGGTGAAGCAAGCTCGAGGAACAAATGAAAGTGCAGAAGGCAAACAACCACTACTACGGCTCCGATATCTTTGAGGAGCTAAAGTCTGCCCGCAACACCATCGAGAACTTGAAGGTGGCAAATATGGAGAATATGCAGGAACTTGAGCAGTGTCATGAAGAGAACAGGGCGCTGAAGACTACTCTTGAGGAGCTCCAAAGAACCCATCAAGAACAATTCCAGCAGGTGGTCCAGCAGAACGGAGCCCTGAAGGAGAATTTTGAGGAGCTCAAGAAACAGCAAAGTGAAGATAGAGAGGAAAAGGGAACAATGACAGACAAACTAGAAGAGTGTGCACAAGAGAATAAGGCACTGAAGACCACTCTGCAAGAGGTCATTAAGAAGCAGGAGACCAAAGAGAAGCTTCTGGTCAGCACCCACCAGGAGCTCCAGAAGGAACTCAAGGAGAAACAGGCTCTGCAGAGGGAGGTGACTGCCTTGGAGTCTGCCCTCGAGTCTGCTCTCTCTGAGCAGGAGCGAGCAGCTGAAGAGGCCCTCAACAAGGCACAAGTGCGGAAGGAGAGCCTCAACACTGAGCGCCACAAAGTTAAAAAAATACTAAATGACTTGGACTCACAGAAAATTAGTTTTAAAGCTGTGGTAGAAAAATGTCACTCCGTCCACAAGGCCACGGTGGAGGAGAACATACTCCACCAGAAAACAATCACGGAGCCGACCACAGTTTTGAAACAAAGTGAGGACGAGAAAACCTCCGCCCTCGTCAGATGTGAAGAGCTGCAGTTGTCCCAGAACAAGTTAGATGATCGGCTGCAGCAGATCACAGTCCTAGTGGAGGAACTCCAAGCCGAAGCAGACAAGAAAAACAAAAAGAAGAAGAGGAGGAGGTGGTTTAAGTGGTGGCAGTAAGTCACCCTCACCCACCCTCATCATAACCTGTGGCTGTGTATGACTTGACTTGTTAAGGCACGACACACAGGTCCTGAACTGTAAATAAAAAAGCAAATCAGCAATTTCAAATGACTCTCAATGTTTTCTTTTTGATTGTTTAGAATCCAGAGCAACAGATGGCAAATAAGCTCTGTCACTTTTTGACACTTTTTATTATTTTCCCTCACCTTTTCTAATTTAAATTTACTACAAACTCACCTATAGCTCTGTGTGAGAAAAAAAGTAGTGGCTTATAGTCTGGAATTTACGTTAGGTACACTGTTCTCGTGAAGGTTGTGGTATAAAAAATAAATAAATAAATTTTTAAAAAGTGCTATGGATGAGTTTGTAGTAAACTGAAATCACAGAATTGGGTAAAAATAACCAAAATCTTACTTATCGACTTATCGGGCATCAGTTATGGAAATACTAGGAGGATGAGATACAAACGAGACGCGAACAAGACGAGATTTTAACATTATTTACTATACAGTCGTCCCTCGCTATAATGCAGCTCACCTTTCGCGGTCTTGCTGTTTTGTGGAATTTTTTTGCATGCTTTTTTACAGTATATGAACGTGCATTGCGTTCCTTCCCCTGCGTCCTGATTGGCTAAGAGCCTGTAGACCATTGTCAATCAATCTCATCCGTGCCGTGTCTCCTGTACAGTACGAAATGCGTTCAGCTGCCAAATTTACATAAATGTTCGATCACTATCAGTGTGATTCTGAAGTGTTCTCAGTTTTCTCCCCACAAACAAACAAAACACACAATGTTGACGAAACTTTCTGCACCGACAAAGGCTCCTGCGGTTGCACCAAAAAAACAGAGGAACATACCAACCATCACACGAAAAGTTGGACTTCTGGACACGCTGAAAGAAAGTACAAGTTGCGCGGCTGTGGCAGAGTCCTGCACCGAGTCGGGTACGGGCAGAAAGTTGCTGAAACGGGCGGGTTTTAACGTTCTCGAATTTTAACGGGCGGGTATGCGGGCAAGTGGTAATTACACATGAGCAGGTCAGGACTAAACTTGGACTAATCTTGGACTAATCTTGGACTTAACAGAGGGAACCAGGAGCCTACAGAGCAAGGTGTCCACAAAGCGCAATCGAGCGAAGGCCGCAGTTACCTCCGTGAGGTGCGGAGCTCTGTGCCGGTCCTTTATCCTGCAGTCACTTCCAAGCCCGTCCCAACAGTGAGTCCTGGTTCAGTCCTGGTTCAGTTCTGTTTTAGTCCTGTTTTAGTCCTTGTTCAGTCCTGTTTCAGTCCTGGTTTAGTCCTTGTTCAGTCCTGTTTCAGTCCTGGTTTAGTCCTGGTTCAGTCCTGTTTTAGTCCTGGTTTAGTCCTGTTTTAGTCCTGGTTCAGTCCTGTTTTAGTCCTGGTTTAGTCCTGTTTTAGTCCTGGTTCAGTCCTGGTTTAGTCCTGTTTTAGTCCTGTTTTAGTCTTGGTTCAGTCCTGTTTCAGTCCTGTTTTAGTCCTTTAGTCCTGTTTTAGTCCTGGTTCAGTCCTGTTTCAGTCCTGTTCAGTTTTCATGTTTCAGTCCTGGTTCAGTCCTGTTTCAGTCCTGGTTTAGTCCTGGTTCAGTCCTGTTTCAGTCCTGGTTTAGTCCTGGTTTCAGTCCTGGTTCAGTCCTGTTTTAGTCCTGGTTCAATCCTGGTTCAGTCCTGGTTCAGTCCTGGTTCAGTCCTAGTTCAGTTATGTTTTAGTCCTGTTTTAGTCCTGGTTCAGTCCTGGTTTAGTCCTGTTTTAGTCCTGGTTTAGTCCTGTTTTAGTCTTGGTTCAGTCCTGTTTTAGTCCTGGTTTAGTCCTGTTTCAGTCCTGATTTAGTCCTGTTTTCAGTCCTGGTTTAGTCCTGTTTCAGTCCTGTTTTAGTCCTGGTTCAGTCCTGGTTCAGTCCTGGTTCAGTCCAGTCCTGGTTCAGTCCTGGTTTAGTCCTGGTTCAGTCCTGTTTCAGTCCTGGTTTAGTCCTGGTTCAGTCCTGTTTCAGTCCTGTTTCAGTCCTGGTTTAGTCCTGGTTCAGTCCTGTTTCAGTCCTGGTTTAGTCCTGGTTCAGTCCTGGTTCAGTTATGTTTTAGTCCTGGTTCAGTCCTGTTTCAGTCCTGGTTTAGTCCTGTTTCAGTCCTGTTTCAGTCCTGTTTCAGTCCTGGTTTAGTCCTGGTTCAGTCCTGGTTCAGTTATGTTTTAGTCCTGGTTCAGTCCTGTTTCAGTCCTGGTTTAGTCCTGTTTCAGTCCTGTTTCAGTCCTGTTTCAGTCCTGGTTCAATCCTGGTTCAGTCCTGGTTCAGTCCTGTTTCAGTCCTAGTTCAGTTATGTTTTAGTCCTGTTTTAGTCCTGGTTCAGTCCTGTTTCAGTCCTGGTTTAGTCCTGTTTCAGTCCTGGTTCAATCCTGGTTCAGTCCTGGTTCAGTCCTGTTTCAGTCCTAGTTCAGTTATGTTTTAGTCCTGTTTTAGTCCTGGTTCAGTCCTGTTTCAGTCCTGGTTTAGTCCTGGTTCAGTCCTGGTTTACTCCTGGTTCAGTCCTGGTTCAGTTCTGTTTCAGTCCTGGTTTAGTCCTGTTCCAGTCCTGGTTTAGTCCTGGTTCAGTCCTGGTTTAGTCCTAGTGGATTTGGAGACGTAGCCAAGGGTAAAACACGGACTGTTTGTTGCGTCAAATCATCAGTGCAGGACTCTGGTGTGATGTAAGTTTCTGTGATGTTTGCAAATGTTCATGTGCACTGAAACTTGATTTGAAAAAAATCTTAGATGGAACAGAAATTGCAATATCTGCCAGAAAAAATTGCAATTCAGTTTTTTCTTAAAATTGTTCAGCCCTACTAGTATTCATATTCATGCATTTTCTTGTCACTAAACACAATTAGAGCAATGTTGGACTATCCTTGCGAAGCTCCCACAATAAACATACACATAAGTCTTTCTTATAAGTTTGTGTTGCTAAAATGTTACATAGTTAGACAATGTGCCATTTGATTTTGATTGATTTGATTTTGATAAAAGTTGCTGGTTTTACAGTACACTTTATAGGGATGTGTCAGTCCAGCTTTTTCAGTTCCAATAACGATATTGATACTTTGACTTTAACGGTGCACTATGTAACTTGGTTGGCGGTCTGTCACCTGCTTGTTTCTATGGAAATGTCATTGCTCTGCCTGGAATGTTCCACAGTATGACATTAAACAGCTCTACTTCACATTTATTCAATTACAGGTCATTTCATAGCTCAGAAATACCTAAAAAAACATACATTCTGACTGTGAGTGCGGTTTGACTCTCCACAGATCTGACCTGTAACTTGGTCTGCTTTGGACTCCATTAAGATTTAATGCCATACTGCGAAACATTCCAGACAAAACAATAACAATACCTCCATGGAGAAAAGCATTTGAAGGAGCCTCCACCAAAAAAGTTATGCAATGCACATTTAAGTATATCTAATAATCCAGGTACATTTGATATAGCAGTAATTATTGTAAAAACGTTCTTCCATCAAGGACAAATTATATTGTGCACTCATATTTGTGTTGGAGCCGGTCTAGCTTTCTGAAAACACATTTACTGCTGTTCGGTTAGCCAAGGCTGTAGCACTTGTATTTGGACCCAAAATATGAATGCAGACAAAACCCTCACAAAGAGGTAAGGCCTGGGAAATAAATAACACTTTGCAATCATGAAAAAAAAAAACTTGGATTTGAAAAGCTTATTTTGGGACATTTTTATTTGTCAGTTGGTAATGCGCAAGGTAATGTCTTCAGAACAGAAATGTGTAGGGTAGCCAAAAATTGTATTGTAACTAAGAGTCCTGATTAGGGCTGAGTATCTATCATTAAGAAGTTGCCGATACGATTCACTCACGATACGATACATATCTCGATACAGTGAGCTTTTGATTCGATATATTTCAAATCGATTCAATACGGTTCAATAAAAAATAATGGCTAAATCATGGCTGTGATACTAAAAGTCTTAGTTAAACCATTTCCTGTGCAAAGTTCATATGAAACTGATGATTTTAATCATCAAAACAGTGAAAATGTCAAATGTGGTGCATAAAAGAGTTTCATTCCTCAACAAAACTGTAGCACTGTAATGAAATAATTTTGTAAAATGTACCAAAAATACTCTTGGGGATGTATCAATACAGCAGTCCCCAATATCGATAGTGTACACACCCCTAGTGCTGTTACTTATATATAAAAATACAAAATAATATTACTCAAGTAGAAGTACAAAGTAGTGCATAAAAGAGTAAACACATAAAAAGGCAAAGGACTTCTCAAGTAAAAGTAACTGTCGGGAAGTAACATCTGATTCAAATGTATAAGATACAAAAAAAGAACAAAAAAATTAAACAATGCACAAAATCTGGAATTTTTTAAGAATTGACACAAACGTGTGAAAAGCTGAATCTGAAGGAACAGTGTAAGAAAGACAGATGTTCAAATCACTTAATATTGTCAACGTAAAGTTTTTGTCACGTACGTTATTGCCTGATGTCTGTGTAATCCCTCAGTTGTCCAGGTAGGATCTAGCCAGGCTGGCGCCACCTAGCGCCTCCGCTCAATTTCATTTCTCTCCAGCGACTAGGTCAGGAATCAGAATACACTAGATGGTTTGCAAGAACACTGGAAGTTGTAGACCACGCACCGGCCAATCAGTGAAGAGCTGTGAAGCCATGACGTCAAACTCAAGCGGGTGTCTGGGCCCCTTTTGTGGTACAGCACAACAGTAAACAAACTTGTCGAGATGGATGTAGACAAAGCCAGACATTCTGTGTTGGCAACAATTTCCGAGATCGAGGATTTAAAGCCGGAACAAAGAGAATGTTTGGTGAATTTTATCAAGTGGAAAGACATTACTGCCCTTCTTCCTATTAGATTTGGAGCATTACATACGTCACGACCAAATAGCAGCAGTTGGTTAAATAAAAAAAGTACCCGCCTACTGTCTAGCGAACGAATCCTAATGCTGCGAGGTCAGACGGT